AGCAGGAACAACGCCAAACCAAAGCAGGAATCCCAGTTTGACTTCAAACCACCCCAAGCAGCGCAGGTAAAGAATGCCTTTCTAATTGCTTTGTTTACCACGGATTATTGCTTCCAATGTGCTTAAGGGCTGTGTTCAAATGTTTCCCTAGAAAATTCCTACTGGGAGGCTGGTCTCCATTGGTCTGTTTGGTGGAGAAAGAGGGATTTGCTGATTAGTTTCTTAATATGTGTTGCTGTTTTTTCAGCCGGCAAACATTTCCAACATAGTCTCATCAAAATTAAAAAAAAAAAAAAAAAAGCTAATGATTTTATGACAGTAAGAATTTATGTGTTTGTTTATTGAAGTGTATATTTTGAGGGGGCTCTCCGGAAAGTACTGCGGTGTGCAAATGAGAAATTCAAAGGACAAAAAAGAATAGAACTTAATAAGGGGCAGTAATTGGAGTGTTCCAGCTTTTGCAGGCTGCATCTTATTAGAGAGATTATCTCACTGTTAACTTTCCTTACCTCTGGCCAGCCCAGAGCTAACCTCTTCCATTAGGGTCTTCAAAACATCTCCACGCTAACAGCGTTTATGCTGTAGAGAAAAACATTTGTGCCTCTGTTTCCTGTAAAGTAATCTACAAGGTGATAACTAAAAGGAGGAGCCAGCATCATGATATAGATTCATCCCAGTTACCTTTAGATATTTAAGTGAAGCCTGGCATGAGCTAACCACCTCCAGAAGTACCTTTTTTTCTGCTCTGGGCACAGGAGAGGCTACATCTTATAACCAAGGTGCCTAAAAATCCATGGGACATGGCCAGGCCTGTTAATTCAAGCAGCAGCCCTTTGCAGCCTGTTGCCAGCGCTCCAAATTACAGGATGAGTCTGAGGAACCAGGGAATCCTAGTGTGTAGGCGAAAACCCAACTGATTTTTCTTTTTTAATTACAAGTAAAAAAAAAAAAAGTTCACTGATTGAATAATTTCAAAATGAGAAATAGAACAGCATTTAACTTTCTGTTTAATTGCACATATGTTGTCTTTCTTCCAGCAGCAGGACCAAGATTTTTATACTGTTGAGCTGGAAAGAGGAGCCAAAGGGTTTGGCTTTAGCCTACGAGGTGGCCGGGAGTATAATATGGACCTGTACGTGTTGCGGCTAGCTGAGGATGGTCCAGCTGAGAGATGTGGGAAGATGAGGGTATGCACAAAACAGATTTAAAAAAAAAAAAAAAAAACCACTTCTTTGCAGCAAGCTAACTTCCCTGCCTCTCTCCCACAGGCACTCCTTCTGCCGTGCCACCTAAGAGGAAAATTAAATGATAACTGAAAGGAGCAGTAGTTTCTATTTACTTCTGTCAGTGGTTTCTGTCAGGCTTTGTACAGTCTTTTAAAGCATGTATGTGTTGGAAGACTTCACTCCATCCTTGCTCCACACCCAGATTTCTGAACCCTAATACATAAACTGACTTTTTACATCTAGCAAAGACCCGTGTGGCAAGTAATAGCAATGGTCTTTACCAGCTGGGGAGCTGGGGCCATGGATAAAGACTCAGGGTATCCTCACTGACCTTTCCTCAACTGTTGTGCGGAAGGGTAGTGAGGGACCGTTCATCTGTGTTGACCAATGGTTTGCAAAATTATAGTGTAGTTTTTGATAAGTATTAACTGTTAACTTTGTCTGTCACCTAATTTTGCATTAATGGCTGATTATAAACATTATAACAAGGACTGATGTTATTAAATGCCCACCGAAAAAGTAAATTGCCAAGTTTTATATACTCCTTGCTCCCTTGGTAGGGGATGCATAATAACTTTATAGCATATGTTTTTTCCACTCCAGATATCGTGTGAAGGGCATTTTCAAGATTCTTCTGCTAAGGATAGATTTACAGGTCCAGAATTTTTGCTGATGGAAATAAATCAGGGCTGCTCTGTGGAAGCCAATGCTTTGACAAGCTCTTCCAAGCCGTTTTCCTATCCTGATAAATGTGTGTATTTACAGAAGCAAGTTTACTGTTCATACGAGGTATCTAAATCCAAGTGAGAAAAGGACCTGAAAAAACTGCTTGAATATCCCAGTTAGCTGTAGAATGAACAACGACTTTTTCAATGAAGTCTTCTGAGTAATCAAAGTAAAATGAAATAAATGTAACACCATTTATTTCACACTTCACTTAACACTTAACTAGGCATTAAGCACTGCAGGAAAGCAAGGTGGGTTTACAGAATGGCAGTGAAATATGTTGATACCTGAAGGTATTCCCTGTTAGCTTCGTGTCTCCCAGGCCCCTGCACCTTGGTCTCCACGGCCTGACTTGCCGCCAGGGCAGGAGTTGTCCCTGGAAGTAGTGAGGCATACATGCCCTTGGGCATATTCCTCCTCCACCGTTACTGCAGCCGTTCTCTTGTACGCAATGTGCTCATGGCGGCCCTCTTGGAGCCTCGTTTCTAATCTTAGCCTCTTCTCTTTCCTTACGTTGACAGATCGGTGATGAAATCTTAGAGATCAATGGGGAGACTACCAAGAACATGAAGCACGCTCGGGCCATAGAACTGATTAAAAACGGTGGCCGCAGGGTCCGCCTGTTTCTGAAACGTGGAGATGGCTCAGTCCCAGAATATGGTGGGTCAAACTATGAAAACATTCCTTTCTTCCCTGGCATCACTCCATGAATGATTTGTCTCAAGATCTGAAGCGGGGATTCTTTTTTATTTTCCTTTCTCACCAGTGTCTTACCAACCTTTGCAACATATGGTTAATTGCCTCGCTTGTGCTGAGTTTTCTACACATTTCATCCTTTGCTTGCTTCCATGGACTTGGGGCGCAGTATAAGGCAAGATTATCCTAGCAGTATTTTTGGTGATCAGAGAGGAAAACAAAACAAAAAAACTTATTGTCTTGTCCAGCCAAACAAGGAATGTCATTGAACTGTGCCAAACTGTTTCTCAGCAGCTGAATTGTGGTTTCAAATAGATCTCTACTTCTAATCAATGCAAAAACTGGGATCCTGAATTACTATGCTAAAGCGGTGATTTTTTTGTTAGGCTTTTCTCTTAGTTCCTGTCTGTATCCGTAGACATGAATGCCAAGATGGCTTATGGGGTTTTTGCCTTCCCTTAATATTTATGTAAATATTTATAAAGTTATTTAAAGAAAAAAAAAAAAAGCTTTACTGCAAAAATATATTGATTTGGCCTCCCGAGCCCTTTTCTTCCCCCTTAAACTGTCTGCTGGTTTCAACTTGTTGATTTGTAAGGTCTGAAAAGGTGAGGAGGTTACGAAAAGGCGCTCTCGTGTCTGTCTTGGGGGAAACATTCACTCTTTGTTTCCTACTAAGAATTCCATTAGAATTCCTTTTCTTCCTTCAGAGGTTGGATTGCTGGGTGGCCTAACTTAGCATTCTATTTAATATTATAATTATGTCTTATTTATTTGAGATAATTGTCAAATATTGTGCCCTCGATGGAGGGCTACTCCCAACCAAAGGTCTTTGAGGTTTCTATAGAAACTGATGATTGAAGGGATGTCCTTTATACATTTCTCCTCTTATTTGGGTTATTTCTGTGTCAGTAGTTATGTGTTTATCACTCCATTTTCTAAAAAAAAAAAAAAAAAAAAAAAAAGCAACAAAATCATTCTGCACAATTTATGAACTAGATTTTCTTTTTAATTTACTGTACCATGTTGGAGAGTTTCTGCTCATTCTGCTCATTATTTAACTTAAAATGACCAGTTCAAAGTATAACCAAGTAACAATTGAAGTATTTAATAATATGGAAGGGAAGTTGTGGGTTTACACTTCTGTAATATAAATAGCACACCAGAAGGTTCATTGATGGCACTGAATTTATGTAATGTTCTTTCTACTTTTGTCTTTTCCTATACTCCTTTGGATATACAGTACTGTATCATATGCTAGACTTCATAAATATTCTGTAAATTAAGTGCTTCACATCTCAAAGCATATGTCTGTTGCACTGAGGATGAAAATCCAACACCAATTTTCTTTTGGCTAAGGATAAATCACTGAACATTTGCTTTCCAAGCAAGGATTTAATATACAGGGGCTGCACTACTGTAAAGAACATCCTTGTAACATTTGGGACTTCCTCTCCTCCGTTCTGTTCCCTGCAGTCACAAACGGTTACTCTAATAATGTTAAGTTCCAATATTTTTCTGACTTGATTGGAACGTGCTTCTCTATGAGGCTGTATATTTTTGTAATGAGTTTTGTACTTATTTTTAATGTTGTGGTCTCTGGTGGACTTTATTTTTCGTCGTTGTTTGATTGTTAATGTTTTTTCTATGACATTCTGTGTCGCTGTTCCAGCTGTCTTTTAGAATGGGTGCTCTCGTTGTCTGGGTTATTGAATCACCTCCTAGATGTCTCGTTATGTCACTATAATAACAACTGCTGTCTTTGCAGCCTTATATTTGGGTGAAGCCTAGACAATCTGACTGGAAAAATAAACTTTCTTTATTCTAAGATAAAATATGAAGATTTTTCTTTCTTTCACCTTTATTATAGGGAAATCTAAATTTTCTACTTTTCTCTTTCTCTTTCTCTTACTGTTCTTGGTGCTGGGCTCTTCCTTCCTCAGCGATGATACCTCCTAATATCGCTGCATGTATGAGAAATGACAAGCTCGGGGAGTCTTGCTTCTACCTTATGGGCCATAATCAAACTACGGTTTGTAGCTAAAATCAATACTAGGTGTTTTTGTGCTGTGGCCTAATTCCCTCACATTGCTTTCCGCTTCGCTATATTTTATATATGTCCAGCAATTCATTCCGAGCACCCTGCCTTCTTTGAATTGTAAGTACACCACCGACCATGTGTGAGCCTCGCTCTTGCCTTGCGCGGTAGCCAGGTTGCCACGAGCCACGTGCTCAGAGCCGTGGGGAAGCCGCGTGGGCCTCCCGCCGCTGGCCGAGCAAGCTGACGAGTTAAAACGAGCACGCGGGGAGTCGCAACGCGGGTTTCACCTGGGAGTCGCAAGAAATAACGGCCCGTGCACGCACCGGCTCGCCCCAGCTCAGGGAGAAGAACGCAGCCAAGCAGGAGAAGTTTTAGGTCATGGCAGGAGAAAGGAGCACGTGGAGCGTTTGGCACGGGGGAGGGAAGGGAGACAAATTCTGTGCCGACGAGCGCGTTTTGGGCTTTTCGGTCGTCGGCATCCAGGCAGCCCACCTCGAAGTGGGCGTCCCGGTGCGAGCGGCAGGGGGGGCGCCCCGCGCCGG